GTCGGGCAGACTCCTGGTGCGACCCCGGGGCTCCAGCGCCAGCGCGCCGCCTGCACAATGAGCTGTGCCGAAGTCACAGAGGGATCAGCACTACGACTGTGCACTGGCTTGTTGCTGTGCCGAGAAGAATATGCGGCCGAATACGGTGCGCTCCGCAGTCTTCAGGAGCACGACGCGGCGACTACAGCAGCGAAGGCGTTTCTCAAGCACGATTTCCACTTCAAGAAATACGTCACAGCGCAGGACGCTTGGGTACAAAAGTGCGCCCAGGTCGATGTAGCATCGATCCTAGAAGTCCGCAAGCTCAACCACGAAGAGGCGGACTACACCACAAAGTTGCTGCAGAGGGTCTCCACGAGATTTCGATCTGACAGCGTCGACAAACGCCTCTTATGCTCCACGGCCGCCTTGATAAATTCTAGGGAATTCGCTGACTACCTCGACGAGCACACAAAAGGCTTCACCAGCCTTCGCGGCAGCAGAGCCCTCCACCTAGCCCTCGACTTCACTGGGGAGCCGTTCACGGACGCCTTCGACAGGAGGTCCCGGTTTCTGACGGCGGAAGAGAAACAGAACAGAAAGCTTTCCCGCCTGGCCACAGTGGCCAAGGTCGAGTCGGGCCGCGTCGTGAACCTCAAGGGGGAGTTCCGCCGGCAGATGTGCATCGCCAACCAGGTGCAGTACGGCGCTTTGCTGGGCAAGAACGCGCTGGCATTCCTCGCGCTCACTACCGACGCGCGCGGCATGAAGCGAGAGAAGGGCTGCCTCCCTGGGCCTGGGGCCCACTCTGGGTGCAGGTTCGTCTCCGGCAAGGCTCTCGGCGTGCTCGGGGCCTCGACCACGGCCGGCGTGCTCGCCGAAGAGTTCCAGACGACGGTTCAGGAGTGCGACGAGCTCAGGGCCCGGTGGAAGCTCCTCAGTAGGGAGTACCGGTCGAACGCGGCCGCTGCCAGCTTGCCTCTCGAGGAGCTTCTGGAAGCGGCTTGCTGACCGGTTGGAGTCTTGGGTGAAGGCGGACGACTTGCGCACGCAATTCCGCTGCTGCGAATTTTCTAAAATCGGCAACATCGCGTGCAACAACCAGGGCCGCTTCCGAGCCCGCGCCGCGCTCCCCGACGCAGACGACGACGCCGACGTCTTCGACGCCCTCCGGGAGGCAGACTCAGACACGGTCGAGGACAAGCACGCTCTGCGCCAGATCATTGATAGGCTCGACGAGATCGGCGGGGGTGGCGCATGCAGGCGGGCAAGGGCACGCGCGCCAGCGGCGACGACAAGCCGAGCGCGCGGCCGCGAGGGAGCTGAAGCAGCCGCTCTGCACCAGCCGGCCTGCTTTCCGCGCGCGGCAGCGTCGGCGGCGCCCTCGCCGGCGCCGTCAGCACCTGCCTCTCTCGGAGCGCCCCCGCCGGCGACAGGAGCGCCAGCGACGGACGCGACCAGGCCGAGCGCGGGCGCCGCCAGGGATTCGCCCGCGCGCGCGAGCCCCGCGCTGCCCGCGACCAAGCGGGCGAGAACGGGGGCGTAGACCTCCTCGCCTGAGGCGCGCCGCAAAGCCGGCCGCGCTTGCGATGCACCCCTGCGGGGCCGCCCGCCGAACCCAGATAGCTCTGCCTCGCTGGCCCTGGGGGATGCAAATTCAGAAGCAGACGCCGTTTTCGAGGGCTCCTGGGGTTCAGCGGGCGGGGTCTTGAGGAGGGCGGGGATGAGGGGGCAGGGGGAGGAGGGGGGGGGGGGATGGGGGGGGGGGCGAGGGAGAGGAGGGGAGGGGAGGGAGGGATGGGGGAGGAGGGCGATGGGGGAGGACGGAGAGGAGGGGCAGGAGGGGGGCGGAGGAGGGAGAAAAGGAAGAGGAGAAGGAGGAGGAGGAGGGTGGATGAGGGTAGAGGAGAGAGGAGGGGAGAGGAGAGTGGAGGAGCAGGAGGAGAGGGAGGAGAAGAAGGAGGAGGAGGAGGAGGTGGGGAGGGAGGAGGTGGAGGAAGAGGAGGAAACGGAAGGTGGGGAGGAGAGGGGAGGAGGGGGGGGGAGGGGCAGGAGTAGGCAAAGAGATCCTGGAGGCGTTGCAAGAAGTCCTGCCAGGTAGATGGGGTGCGCCGCGCGTGCGTGGAGAGTTTTCGAGCGCGTAGAAAGACAAGACCATCGCGATTTGTTTGAGATTGTTTTTTGGGGGTCGTTCTGGCGTTCGCTTCGCGCGGACGCTTTCGGATGGTCGCACAATCCGATTTCCACACAAATTCAACGTTTGCGATTCCGTGTAGACCTCGCGGTGTTTTGGGGGTGTTCCGGGCTGTCGAAGACTGCTGGTGTTACTTCCGGTTTTTCCGGGCAACACAAAAACAACAACAGTGACGGCAGCTGCGTCCGGCGAGCCAGATCCTCCAAATCAAAAGGACGTTAACATAAATTGTCGCGAGTCGCTTCTGTTCCCAACCATCCTGTGGTGTTGGGTCCTCGTTTTGAAGAGACGATGCCCCGCGTCTCCTTCCTCCTCCTCTCCTCATCCGCCTCCTCTCCCCTCCTATCATCCTCATCGTCATCATCATCATCATCAGCATCGTCATCATCATCATTATCATCATCATTATCATCATCATCGTCATCAGCATCAACATGATGGCCGCCATCATAACCATCATCGTCATTATCACCATCATCATCGTCATCACCATCATCGTTGTCCTCGTCGCCATCATCGCACGTTTCGTGGCCCCATACGGAGCTCCACCGAAGGTCCCAGTGGGTGTGCCCGCATGCGTCCCGCACGCCCATTTTGGCACACCCCTCACACGTTTCGTGGCCCCATAGGGAGCTCCATTTACGGTCCAAGTGGCGCAGCTCGCATGGCGCCACCGCCCCATTTTGGCACACTCTCGCACGTTTCGTGGCCCTTCAGGGAGCTCCACCTGAGGTCCACGTGGCGCAGCTCGCATGGCGCCACCGCCCCATTTTGGCACACCCCTCACAGATTTCGTGGCCCCTCAGGGAGCTCCTTTTGGCACACCCCTCACACGTTTCGTGGCCCCATAGGGAGCTCCACCTAAGGTCCACGTGGCGCAGCTCGCATGGCGCCACCGTCCCTTTTTGGCACACCCCTCACACGTTTCGTGGCCCCATAGGGAGCTCCATTCACGGCCCAAGTGGCGCAGCTCGCGTGGCGCCACCGCCCCATTTTGGCACACCCCTCACAGATTTCGTGGCCCCTCAGGGAACTCCACCTGAGGTCCAAGTGGCGCAGCTCGCATGGCGCCACCGCCCCTTTTTGGCACACCCCTCACACGTTTCGTGGCCCCTTCAGGGAGTTGCACCTAAGGTCCCAGTGGTGCAGTTCGCATGGCACCCCTTCACACGTTTCGTGGCCCCACAGGGAGCTCCATCTCAGGTCCAAGGTGGCGCACCCCACATGGCGCCGCAGTCCGCGGCCAGACCTCCGGGGCGCGAGCAGTCCGCGGCCAGACCTCGGTCCTGTGGACTCTCGCCCTGGGCCGTCGGCTGCCCGGCGCACTGCCCCCTCGGCCGAGTCGCCTAGGTGCGATCCTGGACTGCGGCCGCCACGAGGTCGGGAACGGCAAGAAGGAGGACGACGACTGGTGCTGCTCTCGCGCGCCACGCGCCACGAGGACCTCCTGCTCATGCGGGCGCCGCGCATCGAGTTCTTCCTGGCAGGACCGCCGGAGGGCCTGCGAAAGCAGCTGGAGCAGTTTGCAGCGCGCACGAAGCGGTGCAGGAGGGAGGCGACGGCCCTCGCCAGGGAGCTCGGCTTCACCGAGTTTATCCGCGAGGCCTGACCTGAGGAGCGCCCCCCCCGAGCCGCGCCTTCTCTCGACTGCCCGCATAATTGTTCGGCCTCGCGCCGCGGACGACCCGCGCGCGTCGCTGGGACCCTCTCGGGGCGACCAGCGCGCGTCGCGGGGATTCCGCGCGGCGCTCTGCTCAGCGCCTCGCTCGCCCGTCGTCGCTCTGCCCGGCGGCCGGAGCCTTGCCCGCAATCAGCCGGCCGGCTAGCTCTCTGTGCTCCGCGCAGCGGACGACCTGCGCGCGTCGCTGGGACCCCTCCGCGGCGACCTGCGCGCGTCGCGGGGACTCCGCGCTGATCTGCGCCCGCAGCTTTGGATTTTTGGAGCGCGCAGGCAAAGAGGGGGGAACAGAAGGGGCGGAAGCGGGTGCGATCCCCGTGGGGGGCGCGCCGACATGAGCGTCGCGGCGCGCGGGCGCTGCCGTCGGGGTTCCCGCGGAAGCTGCCTGCGGCGGCCACGCCCAGTGCCACGAGTGTTCGGACAGGCGTGCTCGAGCCATTCACATTCATATACATTTACACGAGGCGTAGCCAAGATCGCATTCATGCAAATATACTCACTCCCACGCAGACCCATTCACACTCAGACTCTCTCGCGCTCTGGCTCACCCGCGTTCATTCTTTCGTAATCTGACCTATCGTATTCCTTTGCGTTGTGTACCCCGCCATATTTCGGCATACCCCTCATGCTGTTCGTGGCCCCATAGGGAGCGCCACCGAAGAAGGTATTCACAATTGCGGCACTCACAACTGCATATGGTTGGGTCTTTCGCCAGGATAGTTTTCGTCGAGCACGCGAGAAAGACGTGGGATGCTCCGGGATCGACGGAGCATTTTACGTATTTGTTCGTAGAGCCGACGGACAAAAATCAATGCCGGGTAGATCAATAGTGCAGTCGATCCCCTAGTCGTGTTTGGGCCCTGCGGGGGCCTCCTGGGGCCTCTGGCGACGGGTTGTATCAGTAGCTTGTCATACCTGCGATGCCACGTCCTCGTGCAGTCGGACGCGATACGAGATCGAGGTCGGTTAGGAGAGGGTACCCTGAGGTTCTTCGTGTTTTCTGGACGTTCTTGTGCATCCTGGGGAGGGTACCCTTGGATGTTCGATTTGTTCTGGCCGACGGAGGGTCTCATGCTCTTGAGGAATGTTTCTCTGGTCCAGGTCCGGCTGTATTCTTCTCCACCTGGCTCCCCAGTTCATGTGTCCCGAGGCGGCACACAAGACCGGGCGAGGGATCTCGGCGATGGTCCGCGCGATCGAGCAGCACAATAGGTGGAAGGCGCAGATGCGGTGGGCGCACCTGCGGGAAACGATGAAGAAGTACCACATCATATCTTTCATGCAGAAGCAGGCCGAGGCAAGCAAGCGCATGAGAGATGGCACAGCGTCTGGCCTGCTGAGACGAGAGAACACCGACAATTCTCGGACTTTCTGGGAGAACATGAGGAGAGCGTGGGGAGACACCAGCGCCTGTGGGCCCAACCCTGATAGGATGAGCGATTTCGCGATCCAGAGTCGCGCCGCAGCGATGAGCATGCTTATCATGCTGGTTGTGGATGGTATACCCGAGGGCATCCTCATGGGATTTATGTCGGCATCCGGAAGTCTGAGCTTTACTTTCGTTTTGTCGCTGGTTATCGCCAACTTCCCCGAGGGCTTTGCAGGAGGTCAGCTTGAAAAACACATAACATTGCCACACCATCTAAATTAATTGTGTGTAAACACCTCTTCGCGAGAGGTGTGCTCATGGAGCAGGGGGGTGTGCCATACATCCAGATACTCCTCGCGTGGGCCATCCCGATGCTGCTGACCGCCACCGGTGCCGGCATCGCCTGTCACGTGCTCCTGTGGCTGAACCCGACATATACCGGAGGCCACACCAACCCGTACAACATCCAGGCGGCCGACTCTTCAAATTTTAATATGAAATTTATTCGGATGTTGATAGATCCGAAAGATAATTGTCGGGTTGGGAAGATGGGGTTGTGAAACATGTTCAGATCATCCGTAGTGTCGCGTATGTTGAAGGCGCTTATCACACAGTCGTGCCCTGTATCTTCCCAATCCCTTCGTCCCAACACGATACTTTCGGCGGCGAGCGAGGGAGGGACGTGAGAAGGAGAAGGCCTTCTCAGAAGGCGGCGGGACTTCTCAGAAGCCCTCGCGCCTTCTGAGAGGCTTTCTGCGTCCTAGGGGAAGGCTCATAATACTTCTTGGAAAGCTGGGGGATTTCCAAGCCTTCTGAGGGGGCCTTCTCCTTATCTTTTTCCCCCCTCGCTCGCCGCTGACTTTGGAGAAACCCAAAGGTACCGATACCCCTACTCCCTGGACCTCTCCTGAGGTGCGTTCTGACCAGGATTGCGATGCGAATCCAGCGGTGGCGACGAGGGCATCCCAGGAGGCCCCCAAAGGCGAAAACGAGGGAAGGCTGGCAGTATGGATGGGTACTTTTCCTCCTCTGAGAATGTGGTTTCCCCTCGATACCTGTCTTTCTGGATAGAGCCCCCCCCCGCCAGGTCGATTCGCCAATTGCGCCCTTCTATTTGGTCCTCGATGGGCCGGTGTGGCCGCAGTGTGTTATCCAGGAGGGGAAAAATCACACAGACACAATTCATCGTCGACTCCCAGGAACATATAGGAAAGTATGGGAAGTGGGGGGAAGACGAAAACCAAGAAAATAATGAGAAATATGGGGAATCGTGGGATGTGTGTCTATTTACCCATGTGTCCCTGGGCCCCTTTTGTTATGGGGTCCCTGCGCCCGCCGCCAGGCCTGGCGCTCCAGGCCGTGGTCCCGAAGCGGTGCTCTGCCAGAGGGGGGGCCCACCCCGTTGTCACCCCAATCTACTACTGTCGGGGAACGTAAGACTCGAAGACGGTCGGACCGAGGTGTAAGATCGAGGTCGGTTCGGGCAGGGTACCCTAGTGTTCTTCGTGCGTGTTGGATGTTCTTGTGCATCCTGGGGAGGATACCTTCGGATGTTGCCCCCCGATCGCCGAACGCGATGCGACAGCAATAGCCTGCGCCCTTGGATTTGCCCCCCCCCCGCGCCCCCCAAAAGTCGCGTACCAAAGGTCACTCTTGCCCAGGGTCACTTTTACTTGCAGTCGACACTCGTCGTCACCCCAACATGCTGTCGTGGAAATGTAAGACTCGAGTATGCCGGATCTCGGGGTTGCCGACGCTCTTTGACGAGCGCGTCCCGGATTTTAACGGTCCAGTTTTAGTGGGGTGTTTGCAGCCGTCAAGTTTCAGACTGGGCCATCGTCATTTTAATAATTCGAATCGTATGTCACCCGAACACATTGATATTCCCAGACCCCCTCGCGTTGTGAAAAATTAGCCTGGCAAAGAACCCAACCATATGTAGTTGTGAATACCGCAATTATGGGTATCGTATTCGGTGGAGCTCCCTATGGGCCCACGAAATGCTGCACTGGGTGGGGAAACGCATGCGAAGTTTGCCACTGGGGCCTTCGGTGGAGCTCCCTCTGGGCCACGACACGCTGCACTGCGTGGGGGAGGCGCATGCGGACTTTGCCACTGGGGCCTCCGGTGGAGCTCCCCATGGGCCACGAAACGTTGTGCTGGGTGGGGAAGACGCATGCTGGACTTTGCCACTGAGGCCTTCGGTGGAGCTCCCTATGGGCCACGAAACGTTGTGCTGGGTGGGGGAGACGCATGCGGCTTTTGCCACTGGGGCCTTCGGTGGAGCTCCCTGTGGGGCCACGAAGCGCTGTGCTGGGTGCACCCAGCACGTGGACTTGGCCAGTGGGGCCTTCGGTGGAGCTCTCCATGGGGGCCACGGATCGGTGGGGCTCCCTACGGGGCCACGAAACGCTGTACTGGGTGTGCGGGACGCATGCGGGCGGTCCCATTGGGACCTTCGGCGGGGCTCCCTATGGGGCCACGAAGCGTTGTACTGGGTGGTGCGTGACGCATGCGGGCGGTGCCACTGGGGCCGTCGGTGGAGCTCCCTATGGGGCCACGACGCGCTGTACTGGGTGGTGCGTGACGCATGCGGGCGGTTCCACTGGGACCTTGGGCCACGAAACGCTGTACTGGGTGGTGCGTGACGCATGCGGGCGGTCCCATGGGGGCCGTCTGTGGAGCTCCCAAGGGCCACGAAACGCTGTACTGGGTGGTGCGTGACGCATGCGGGCGGTGGCACTGGGGCCTTCGGTGGAGCTCCCTATGGGGCCACGAAGCGCTGTAATGGGTGGTGCGTGACGCATGCGGGCGGTCCCATTGGGGCCCGGTGGAGCCCCCTATGGGGCCACGAAACGTGTGAGATGTGTGCTGGGGCGGGTGATGATGATGATTGTGATGGAGGAGGAGGAGGAGGAGGAGGAGGAGGAGGAGGAGGAGAGGAGAGGAGAGGAGAGGAAAGGAGAGGAACGCGGGGACCTTCTCTTCAAAACGAGGACCCCACACCACAGGACGGTTGGGAAAGATAACGGCGGGAGGGCTTTCGCCATTTTCGGCGTCTCGGGGCCTCTGCCGGGCCTCGGGGCCATCAAACAATTATACGGGGTGAAGAACCGGTCCTGGGGTGCAATCCTTCGTTTTTTTTTGCAATCGTTTTTTTTGTCCATCCTTCGTTTTTTTTTTTTGTTTTGCAATCCGTTTTTTTGCAATCCTTCTGGGGGTCGCCCTGACATGCACGTGGTGTGCGGGGCTTTCTGGAAAGGGCCTCGCCCTCGAGGGTCGAAGGGGTTGCCATCTCTGCGTCGGCGGGAGGGCGGCGGAAGGGCTGCGGAGGGGAAGCAGAACGGGGCCGCCTCCGCCGGCGGAAGCCACCAGAAGGCTGGCGGAGGTGCAGCAGGGGTCCTGAAGAAGGGAACCCTTTTCGTTGGGGAGGGGCTCCGTGTTCCTTGATTGTTTCACAGCTTGCCTCGGGTTTTCCCAAGGTTTTCGATGGGGAATCGAGGTTTAACCCATGGGGAAGGAGGGGCCTCGTTCCTTATTTAGGGTTCCTTAGGTCAACGCCCCGACTGTACAAGATGCGTCCCCAAGAAATGGAATCGTTTTTGGATTCAGGGCTTCCGGAGTCGGCCACCCAGGTGGCGACGCGCGCGCCGAGAAATCTTGCAGTACGGCCTCCGTGGCGGGCGCTTGCTGGCCATGCTGCTCGGGCAATGATGTGCTGCAAGATGTCCGTAGCTACTCAATGCTCGGGTCGGACGCACGCCTCCAAGGAGGACACGAAGGTCTAGTGTGTCCTTCTGCGTCCCATCCACGTTCGACATGGTGACGTGTTAACGTTTACTCCCGCCGCTCTTCGCCGACCTTCCGCGGCCGGACACGCCGCCGTTTGTCGACGGCGAGCGACAAGGGGAAGCGAGAAGGAGGAGGCCTTCTCAGAAAGCTCGGAAGTCCTCCAGCCTTCTGGGAAGTTTTCGGAGCCTTCTCCGAAGATGCAGAACACTTCTCAGAAGGTGCGAGGGGTTCTGAGAGGTCCCGCCGTCTTCTGAGGAGGCCTTCTCCTTATCACTTCCCTCCCTCGCCCGCTGCCGACTTTGGAGAAACCCAAACAAAGGTACCGATACCGCTGCTCCCCGGACCTCTCCCAGGGTGCGTTCTGACCAGGATTGCGAGGCGAATCCACCAGTGGCGACGAGGGCATCACAAGAGGCCCAGAATGGCGACGAGTAACCTTTTCTCCTCAGACTCTGGCTTCCCCTCGATACTTGTCTTTTTCGATAGAACCCCCTGCCGGGTCGATTCGCCAATTGCGCCCGTCTATTTGGCCCTCGCGGGGGCGGTGTGGCCGCGGTGTGTTGTTCAGGAGGAGCAAAAACACACAGACACAATTCATCGTCGATTCCCAGGAAAATGTAGGAACGTATAGGAAGTGGGGGGGAAGACGAAAACCAAGAAAATAATGGGAAATATGGGGAATCGTGGGATGTGTGTCTATTTGCCCATGTGTCCCTGGGCCCCTTTTGTTATGGGGTCCCTGTGCCCGCCGCCGGGCCTGGCGCTCCAGGCCGTGGTCCCGAAGCGGTGCTCTGCCAGAGGGGGGGACTCTGGGTTCTCCTCGCTCGTCGCGAGTTCTGCTTCCGCCAGCCTCCGTCGGCCCCCGGATGGCCTCCGCCGAGGGCGGTGCTCGCCGAGGGCGGTGCCCTTTCTGGAGCGTCCTCCTCCTGCTCCTCTTCCTCCCCCTCCTCCTCCTCCTCCTCCCCCTCCTCCTCCTCCTCCTCCTCCTCCTTTTCACGTTAAACCGACCTAAGGTTTCCCTGTGGCGTTCATGAAGTGCAGAAGAGAAGCAATAGAGGACGACTCGGGTCAAGGTGCACATGGCGGGCGACGCGGAAAGTTAAAGAAGTAAAGATAGGCTGAGAATAGTAAAAAGAATAGGCGCCCGCCAGGTCCTCAAGGTTGACACTAACCTTAGTAACCAATTACGAGAGCGCGCCAGTGGATCGGAGGTGAGGGGGTGAGATCGAAGTGGAACGGGGAGCCCCCCTACCGGGAAATCGGTTTCGGTTTCGTGTTCGTGCGTGCCGTGCGTGCGGGCGAGGCGAAGCTGCGTGGGCGGGCGAGAAGAAAGTCTCCTCTGGCTGAGGCGCGGCTGGACCAAATGATTCCTTTCCGGGGGCCGGTGGCCCGCGGTATCCCGACGGTGTCCAGCCTCCGGCTGAGGCGTGGCCGGACCAAATGATTCTTTTCCGGGGGCCGGTGGCCCGCGGTGTCCCGCCGGTGTCCCGCCGGTGTCCCGTCGGTGTCCCGATGATGATGATGATGATGATGATGATGATGATGATGATGATGATGATGATGATGATGGTGGTGATGGTGGTGATGATGATGATGATTTCGATGATGTTGATGATGATGATAGTGATGGTGGTGATGATCATGGTGTCCCGATGATGATGATGATGATGAAGATGATGATGATGATGATGATGATGATGATGATGATGATGTTGACGATGTTGATGATGATGATGGTGATGATGATGGCCATGGTGGTGACGATGGTGTCCCGATGATGATGACGATGCTGATGATGATGTTGATGATCATGATGATGTTGATGATGATGATATGATGTGATTATGTTGATGATTTGAACATGATGATGACGATGGTGTCCCGATGATGATGGTGATAATGAGGTCGATGATGCTGTTGATGATGATGGTGATGATGATGATGATCCCCGAGGATGATGATGATGATGTTGATGGTGATGATGATGACGATGCTGGTGTCCCAGTGATGATGATGTTGATGCTGAGGATGATGATGAGGTGATGACGATGATTTTCGATGATGGTGGACCGATGATGCTGATGCGGATGTTGATGATGATGGTGTCCCGATGATGATGATTCTGATGCTGATGGTGACGGCGATGATGGTGGCCCGATGATGATGATGTTGTTGATGATGATGGTGTCCCGATGATGATTATGTTGATGATGCTGTTGATGATGGTCATGAGATGATGATTATGATGATGATTGTGTTCCGATGCTGACGATGGTGATGATGGCGTTTCCCACGATGATGATGTTGATGATGATGGTGGTGGCGATGATGGTGTCCCGATGATGATGATGGTGATGCGGATATTGATGATGATGGTGATAATGTGATGATGATGATGGTGTCCCGATGATGATGGTGATGATGTTGATGATGATGTTGATGGCGCTGATGACCATGACGTTGGTGATGATGATGACGTTGATTGTGAGATCGGTTGTGATAGTGACAGTAAGATCGACAGTGAGACCGAATGCGAGATCGGTTGTGAAATCGATGGTGGGATCGATAGTGAGATCGATTGTGAGATCGTTTGTCAGATCGATTGTGGGATCGACCGAAGGAAATTGATCGAGTGAGATCGACTGTGAGATCGATCGAGTGAAGTTGACCGAGCGAGACCGATGGTGAGGTCGATGGTGAGATCGATAGTGAGACCGATCGAGTGAGACGTTGGTCCCCCCCCCCCCCCCGGAACCTCCTTATCACCCGAAGGGTGGTCGTATAGGTAGCCCTAAATACACAAAAGGGGTGGGGCTCGCAGAACCCCCCCTGCCCCCCTTCAAAGGGGGCGTGATATTTTCGAACCACCACCCCCCCCCCCTCCCCCCCCTCCCCCCCTCTTCCCTTTGGCACGGGAGAGGGAAGGGGGGGAGGGGTTCGACCCCCCCTCCCCCCTCCCCCCCTTTGCGCCGAACAGGGGGCTGGGGAGGGGGCCCCTCGGGTAGTGAGTAGCGAGTAGAGTGTGTTTGAGTAGCGATTGGTGGGTAGCGGGAATTTGATAGTGAGTAGTGCGCAGTGAGTCGTGAGCAGTGAGTAGTGAGTAGTGGGTAATGGGTTGTGGTACTAGTGAGCAGCGCGTAGAGATTAGTGAGTAGTGAGTAGTGAGTCGTTGGTAGTAAGTAGTGGGAAGGAACTAGAGAGTAAGAGATCATGAGTAGTGAGTAGTGAGGAGTGAGTGGTGTGTAGTGAGTCGCGCATAGTGGGTAGTAAGCAGGGAGTAGGGATGAGGGGGTAGACAGTAGCGGATAGCGAGGAGTGAGTTGTGAATAGTGAGTAGTGCGCAGTGAGTAGAGAGTAGTGAGTAGTGAGTGGTGAGTAGCGAGTAGCGAGTAGCGAGTAGGGATTAGCGAGTAGGGAGTAGCGAGTAGTGAGTAGTGAGTAGCGACTGGGGCCTTGTGAGCAGTGGGTAGTGAGGAGGGAGTAGTCAGGAGTCAGTAGTGAGTAGCGAGTAGGGAGTAGTGCGTAGCGAGTAGGGAGTAGCGAGTAGTGAGTAGTGAGTAGTGAGTAGGGAGTAGTGAGTAGTGAGTAGTGAGCAGTGAGAAGCGAGAAGTGGATATTGAGTAGTGGGTAGTGAGTAGGGAGTTGCGAGTAGAAATTTGTGTGCAGTGAGTTGAGAGTAGAGAGTAGTGAGTAGTGAGTTGTGAGTAGCGACTAGCGACTAGTGGCCAACTAGCGAGTAGGGAGTGAATATTTCGTATTGGGTAGCGAGTAGTGGATAGTGAGTAGTGAGTTGTCGGCAGTGCGTAGTGAGTAGTGAACTGTGAGTACTCAGTAGTAAGTAGTGGATAGTGGTTAGTGGGTGGTGAGTAGTGCTTAGTTAGTAGTGAGTAGTGGGCAGTGAGTAGTGTTTAGTGAGTAGTGAGTATTGAGTACTGGGTAGTGAGTAGCGAATAGTGCGTTGGGAGTAGTGAGTAGGGAATAGGAAGTAGTGAGTAGTGAATAGTGAATAGTGGGAGCGAAGTGAGTAGTGCGTATTGGGTAGCGAGTAGTGCGTTGGGAGTAGCGGGTAGTGAGTAGTGAGTAATGTGTAGGGAGTAGCGGGTAGTGGATAGCGAGTAGTGAGTTGTGGGCAGTGGGTAGTGAGTAGTGAAGTGTGAGTAGTGAGTAGTGGATAGTGGTTAGTGGGTCGTGAGCAGTCAGTTGTGATTAGTGAGTAGTGGGTTGTGAGTTGTGTTTGGTGAGTATTGAGTAGTGGGTAGTGAGTAGTGAGTAGTGAGTAGTGTGTAGAAAGTTGGGAGTAGTGAGTAGTGGGTAGTGGGTAGTGAGTCGTGGTTTGTTGTTTGTGAATCGTGAGTAGTGAGTAGTGAGTAGTGAGATCTGAGTAGTGAGTAGCGAGTAGTGAATTGTGGGTAGTGAGTAGTGCGTAATGAGTAGCGAGTGCTGTTTGGGGCCAGGGTTTGGGTTTGGGTTTCAGGTTGGGGGTTAAGGTAAGGGTGAGGATTAGTGTTAGGGGTGGTCGGGGTCGGGTTCCGGAGACCGGGGGCGCCGTGGCGAAAGGGGGGGATGGGGGGGGGGGTACGAACTTGGCGGCCCAAGGGGGGGAGGGGGGGGTCGGAACCCCCTCCCCCCCTTTTGAAAGGGGGGAAGGGGGGGGTCCCCGACGACGACGGATCGGGGAAGGGGGGGGGATCCCACCCACCCCCCTTTCTTGGGGACATCCAGCGGCGCGCCCTCACCAATTACCCCCCATCAGCTATCAAGATACATCCCCCCATGCTATCCATTGGTAGTGCCTCCTCGGATGGCAAGTAGCAGCAACAAAGAGAATGGAAAGAGTGACGCAGTGTCGGCGACAGTCTCGATAGCTGCGCCAAGAAAATAGCTGCTGCTAGGAAATGCAGCATGTACCCCTTGATGACCCACCTCCTCCTCGATGTATAACTCTACCAATCCCCATCCTCATAGCAGTACTTGGGATGCTGCCCATACTGTGTAGTCACAAGAGAGGTGCAGTATACTCCACTCTAGGCTTGTCTTGTGCAATGGTCCCTCTTTCCCAGCAGCAGGCCTGCTCTTTAGCCAGCAGTAGGCCCGTTCTTTGGTTCCTAGGTGGATGGGGCCACCGTCGCCGTTTTTTGTCAGGAGTATGAAGGGTAGGCGTGTGAGAATGATGAGATGAGAAGGTAGGTCGGATATGCTGCAAAGACTGGCCTGTGCAGGCTGGCCTACGAATGCGAAAAGGCAGTAACATGATAGATAACATCTACGTACTATGAATGTCGCAATGGCTGGCCCGTGCAGGCTGGCCTGTATGCCTGAGATACCTTTAGCGAGCGTGGCTTTGCTTTGGGTCAGGATTTGTTGGTAAACCTTAAACCGTCGGATCTGAGTTCGATGTGGCCAGTATGGCAGATCAGAGGAGTAGGCGGAGTACGGGCCAGAACAACAAAAACGTGCCGCTGAGAGGTACTATTGCTGCAAATGGGTATGCAGCTTGTGCACCATAACCGTGTACTCGGGCAAGTTGCTCAAGTGTACGGCTGTGGGGAGTGAAGAAAGCCAGTTTGTATTTCTGTGCAGACCTGCCCGTGTTGCGGGCAGGTGTCTTCTGG